TTTACTAATAACCGGAACCAAGTTCGAGCTTACGGAACTTTTCCGCCCGAGTTCGCCATAGAAGGCGGTGTTTGCCAGGGGTTTCCCCTTTCTCTGCTTTTCAGTTCAACTTTTTCATAAATTTGTTTGTGGAAACAGTCCTTTCCTCGTGCGAAGATAGTGGCATCCATTTGCTCACAGTAGGTAAACTGTCTGATCTTGATTATACAGACGATATTGTACTACTAAGTGAAAATCCGAGTAAGTTGCAAGCTGTTCTGGATAGCTTGAGTGCTAGTGTAGCCATGCTCGGTATACATCTTCAAAGTGTAAAATGCTGCTCTAGGATTGGTCTGAGGTTCCAGCCCCACCACCGTTACCCGACTTTTGTGGTAGGCCGCTTTGCTGTCGTCTAGTTCAATAACCCGGGTTATTTCGTGGGACCTTATTTGTTTCGCCATTCCAAGTCCCTGGTATAGATTGCCGGTTTCCGTCACTGAGAAACAGGTCCTCGTGACTGTGGTTCGCTCCGTCTATTGTTCATCACATTAAGGTGTGTAATAAAAAGAAGTGAGCAAGTTTTGTTATTTGAACAGCTATCTTATCCGGTAGACGCATCACGGAATAAGTGTCAGTTCGCATTCAGAGGGCTCAATTGGCATTTGCCAACGTGCTATATCTGTGGTGTCGCTGCGACTTTTCATTGGCCGTGAAGGGTCAAGTCCATGCTGCAAAAGTTTGAGGTACAGATTTGACCATTATGAAAATGCCGTAAAGGTAGACTGTCTTTGTTCAAACACTACTGTCCATGTCGCATTGCACGAATCTGGTGGGGCAACCGAACAAGCAATGCTCTGATGCGCAGAGCGATTAGGTAGAGTAAGTGTCTTTCGTCTTTCGGGCTGGGGTCCGACATACTCCGTAACTGGATGGTTGGAGACACTGAAGGTCATAATAGCAAGCCGACAGTAGTGACGATCATGCTATCACTTCTTATCAGTCCATTATGCTTGAAATAGTGTGTATTCACAGTTGGACTGTCCTCTGTGTGGGCCATTAGGGTTCGCTTTCGTTTCCCATCCCTAAGAATGGGCCGAATCCCTGTCCTTATATATTTTCACTTGTAAGCGTTATTAGTTTGGTAGGAATAAGTGAAGTTTGCTTCATTATGTTACGCAGTACGATGACGATGGTAATGATGAGGTTACATGCAGAGTTTTAGTCATTCTTCTGGGAAGTTGAAAGTAAAGCGGAAGACGAGATGGAGAATTTCAGTAGACTACGGTTGCAAAGAAACTGAGACGACACACGAGCGTCACTGTTTACGACACAGCCATGTCATTCATCTAAAAGAGCAGCCAAAAAACAGCAACCAAAAACCGGTGCACAAAAGTGCATGGTAATGGTTGTACAAACGGCCAACTGTGTTGGCCTAAAATGTTAAAGGATGGAACAGTGAACCTATGGCACTCTTCTTGGTTTGGACCGTTTTAACCTTTTTCACTGAAAGGGTGTGTATTAAGTACCGGTACACTGTTTTGCTCTATGTCTGCAAAATCTGGCCTCTCCGAGCAGATCACGGCCAACGACAATCCGTA